ATCGGTCCACTCACAGAACTTCAAACTTGGAACTGATTTTTCAGGAAAATCTGAGAATTGTAACTTCTATTTGAGAGGAAATAATAAGTCCATTTCTCATATACAGTTATGAATGAAACTTTTCTGAGTAATTACCTTTTGAACTACAGGAAAAAACAATTGGCGGGCGTCACGATTCATAATGCCTTCCATAACGCCCTAGGGCGTTATGGGTCTGTTGATAGCAACCATTGCCAAGGTATTATGAAACAGTAATCAACAGGTGAAAAATAGGAAGTTCAATTCCTGGAACGATTTTTTGAAATGAAATGGAAATGTAGATTCGATATTCCTTATGACTTCTCTCGCATTTGTAGTCCAAACTACTCACTTCCGAGAAAAACTCCTGAGAATCGTTTATGCAATAGTGCAATAGTCCAATGATTCCAGATAATATACATTCAGCTGAATATGCGCAATCTCTAGAATCTCTTTTTCTCAAAATACACCAAATGTCACTTGAGTTACTATTGCACAAAACGCCCCAATTATGCTTCCTTCCTTTGCTTAACCCGATGAGGTTGTTCTCCGTAGCTATAGCAATTTTTTTATAGTCCTGTATCCCTCATAAGTTGCAGAATATGAGGTGATTCCAGGGTTCCTTCGCTTCATTTTTCTCTATTCCTGAATGTCCCGGAATCCATAGAAGGGTGACTGTATCCTTGTTGTATAGCTCGATCAGTTTTAACAGCATTCCCAAACCATTCTAGAGCTGATAACTATAGGGCTCAGCGCTTTACTGCCTAACTAACTATTGGACATGATATTTATATCACGTCTTACATAGCTTTTGTCAAGATGGAACTGTACACATTGCCCTTCAACGTGAACTTCCGTCTGGAATGAATTTGGGAATTTGCTAAGGCTTCCGAAGTACTTGGTACGAGCTCAGTGGGATCAAACTGAAGAACATGAATCATGCGCTTTTAGGTCATACAGGGTCCTGCATCTCACCTCCCGTCTTCTATACCTCAGTTAT